TCAATCCATAATATCATTGTCAAAAAATGAGACCGATCAGACAAAGGATAACCAAAATATGATATGACAAAACTCAATCGTTCATCTCATCCCATGACATTGATCCAAGGCTAATTTACAAAGACTCTAGAAGATATAAAAATGTAAATGACACAATAACTTTATGGATTAGAGGTATTAATATAGCAAGGTTAGGGTCCAAATTTGATCCTGATCCGTTATCAGATGAGAGAGATATACCTTCTCCCACGCCTTGAACTGCAGGTAGAGTCCACCTAAATCAGTCCAACTTTACAAAACAAAACCCAATAAATAAGTGGCCAATAAGCTTAAAATTTTTGTGGGAGGAAGATGATGATTAAGAAAGCCTTTGGTAAGACTTTCAGCCAAATTTGATCTCAAGAAGCATTTTTTTGGCATCATCTTTAGTGTACGACAGGGGGACCACAGAGAAATGAACAAGATACCATATTGCGTTTGTAGTACATCATTTTCATGAGAATTACAGCAACTCACAAAATTTTTGGGAAAACTTTGGGGGCCATATCTCTTGATTCCTGTAGTCAAATAAGCCCAAATTTTAGTATGATGTTGCTTGCTATATGGGTTCTTTATTTATATATGGATTGGTGTGTTTCTCAACTCGGATCGAGGTTGAATCGAACAAAAAATTTGCAAGTTCGCAACAAGTGATGTATATCAATCCCCATGACTTCCATTCACTCTCAGAGCAATGAGCGATATCTCGCAATCCGTATAACGATTGAGCCAAACTTTTATTAGGAACTTTGTAACTCAGAGATAAGCACATCGATATATTAAGAGTTGCCTAAATTTATAAGGCTGCAAATGTAAAAAATAGTAAAAATTAAAAGAGCTACATCTCCTTAATCCAACATCATCTTGAGACGAATATTTTGCCAAATATTAGTTTTGGGGCTTCCACAAGAATCTACCTGTTGATCGTCAAATAATAGCCAAATTTGAGCATAATGACGTGGTGTAGAAATAAGCATTCACTTTTTACAAAAAATAAAAAATCGAAACTCAAAATGAGTGAAACTTGACGAATCATGGATGATTTTCACTCAAATTTGTTACAAAATGATCGTGGTTGATGCTTGACATCTTTATGGAAAAAAGGGCCGAAATTATGGAAAAACAGTATGATTTGATGGGTATTGGTGGCAGATGAAAAAGGAATCCTCCTCAAAGCAAATCATTGAAAACTCCAAGGCCTAGGTATCAGTTTTTGTTAGTTTTAGGCCTAGTTTGAATTTACTTTTAATAATCCACCTCTTTTGAGCCATGCTTTTGATTTTTCACCCACCAACTTTTCATATTTTACCCATGTTTTGGTGTATCTATAAAAGCCAACTTAAACTTCATTTTTGGGATTGGAGAATTAAGCCCAAACCCACACGCTAAAGAGAGGAAACTTGAGTTTCCCAAAGTGCCATTGCCTCTATTCCATAATCTTCAAATTCGCCATGAACTTTACCAAAATACCTAAATTACACATAGTTCCCAAAATACCCCTAACCCTAGAAGAAAATTCCTAAATTGCCCTCCAACCAAAAAATTCCCTAGGAACCTAAAACTTCTCATTTTTAGGAAAAACCACCAAAATCTAAGAGAAAACTTGGACTACCCACTTTGTAACTGGAAAGTTCATGAGCCGATCATCGGGAACTTGGAGGGTACACGGGCCTCTCGTGAGCAGTTAGCTTCTTAAGTCATTTGAGATTCCGCCTCATTCTGGACGATAGCATGGCCAAGTCTTGGTGAGAGGGCTTCCTCGGTACCAAATGCCGGTGGTCTAAAGGGGTCCGAGTTCTGTCAAATCCGGGTACAAACGACGCCACATTGTAATTGTTTTATTTTTTAAGCAATAAAGAAATTGTCATTTTAATTGTATGCATCTGGTTACTGTTTTTCATCTGAGCAATCGAGTCATTCAACGAACACACACAAGCACCCTTTTTAAAGCGATACAATGTGCACTGCAACAAGTTTGTATAATGGGTTTGTCATTCCCATATTCATCGAAATCTTCATGTCTGAGTGTTTTGGTGATTTTTAACAAATAAAAAAGACATCACTGGAAAATTGCAAAGATGAAAATATAGGTTAAGGGCATACAAATCAGCCTTAGAAGATTGTGAATGCTTTGGTCCTTTTATTTTGCACAGTGAACTTGAATTACTCTCAAGCATTTAAATGAAAAAGCAAAGAATTGAAAACATATAAAATTTACTTTGATGCTTTGCAACAAGTTTGTATAATGGGCATCTCACTCCCCCATTCATCCAAATCTTCAAGTCAGTGTTTTGGTGATATCTAATAAATAGAAAGGGTATTTTCATACAAGACAAAAAATATATGCTAAGCGCAAACGAATCAGCCCCAGAAGATTGTGGATAGTTTGGCCCCTTTTTCTTCAAAGTGAACTTGGATTCCTCTCAATCATTTGAAATGAAAAAACAAAGATTTGAAAACCATGAAATTTATTTTGAGCAGAAATTATTTTACCATTTTAGGTATAAGAACAAAAGGAATACACATTTCTTCTTGGGAAGGTAAATTATTTTCTGAGAAACACCAACAACAAGTGAGTATTCATTTCATAATAAACATGAATGGGAGCTTTAGCTTTATGGTTCTGTTTCCTTCTAGAACATTGTATCAGATAAGCGCGGATTAAATGTCAATTTACGCCTTGGATTCCCACGCTACGATAGAGGAGAAGAATCTCACCACCACCTTAACAAACATCCCAAAATCAGATATAGCTATTTCGGTCCAATTAAGACGCAGCACACGCATTGCTAAATATCGACTCATTACACCTATATAAGAAGCTTGTGCTAGCATCGCAATTTCTCATTATTAAATCGCATGCGGTAAGAGTATCATGTTGATTTTTCAGCCAATGAAGCTGAAATTGCCTGGAAGAGGAAGCTATGAAAGTGGCTAATTCATATGCAACCAATGAGCTCATTTAGTAGCACATCTAGTTGAAGATTTCCTATTGTTGAAGAGAAACTTGAGCTGCTAAAGTCATTACTGAAGATGGAAATCAGAAAGGAATGTCTTGTGTAGAGACAGGAATACAATGGAGCTGAACTCAACTTGCCTAATGAGTAGGGCAATGCTTCTGACTCAAACATGTAATTGGGGAATATATCAAATACTTATGCAGTTCGAAAAAGGCTTTGACGATGATGATGATCAAATACTTATGCAGGTAAAGTTTCTTCATGCCAAAGTAGCCGAGGCAAGTTCTCCATATTTTTTACTTTTGAATTGATTCTCAACCTATGGTGGATGTCTAAAGTTTGTGCTATCAATGTTTCCTACTGCCTCTTGGCTCTACCCTAGCCTAACAAGGGACACTTGGGGGCTTTCATTCCTCTTATCAAAGTGTCACGAGAAGCGAAGATACGTTGAGCGAACGTAGCGGGCATAGTCGACACTTGACAGTCGGGGTGTGCTAGGAAATTGTAGGAAACCGAAATGATAGCACAACATCAGCACCTTTTGCTTGTACTTTCTTAATAGAATAGCAAATAAAGATAAATTTGAATATCTATTATTGCCGTTCTACATTGATAGTTAGCGCTTTAGAAAACTGTAGGAAACCTACATGATAACACAATATAGATACTTTTGAGGGTGTATATCGTGATCCCACAGGAGTATACTGTACACGTACTCTTTCAGAAAGAAGACTAATTTGGAAAGATTTCTTTTTTTATCCAAAATTTGAAAACTATAGAAAATTTGATAGATGATTACATTCAATAGAAGAAAATTGATTTTTGAGTTTTCTAACACTTAGATCTCACCCTTAAAAATTTTGATGATTTCTATTCAATCTTGAGACATTATTTTTTTAAATCCATAGAGAATTAAAATTTTTTTATTGAGTATAGCATGTGGTTGAATAGGTTGCCCTCCAACCCATAGACGATAGCTTCATGATGTTGATATTATCAACATATGAATCATGTAAATATTAAAAAATAAATAAAAGAAAAAGGAAAAAAAACAAGAGCACATATGAATCATGCTAACGGTCCCTGATGACCAAAGTCAAACCGCAGTTCATGGCATCACAAATTATAGTTATCATCCGATCTCTCTCTCCAACACGATGTAAACATTTAACGGCGATACAATTCGCCAATACGATGACATTATCTTTATACTTCAATCATATTTAATGGTCCACTTAGGATTACGGGTGGCGCCCCCATAGGACAGACCCAAGCCTCGCCCTAGCCCTGTTAGGGAGGGTCGGGTCAAAAACAAATGAGGCAAAAATAAAGGAAACTCAAGGGAAAAAAGGATTGGGCCACGTTGAACAGGGCCAGCATCGGCTCTAACCCTGCCCATTGGATCACAATTTGTGGCCCGACTCGACCTTTTTGTTACCGAGCCGGTCTATTATCAGCCCTACTTAGATATAATTAGGGGTGGCAATGGACCTAGACTCGACTCGGGACCCGCCGGGTATACTCAAACGAGTATGGGTATGGATTCAACATCTGGACTCAGCGGGTCGGTTCAGGTCCAAAACCTGGATCTGACCACTATTCGGGCCCGGGTTCGGTTGGACCTGACCAGTAATCATAAACTGAAAGAAATAAAATACTTTAAGCCGTATTCGTTTGGGTGTATTAATGATCGTATGCAGTAAGAATTCATAATCTTCTTATAGAAAACAAAAAACAAAAAAAAAAGCTTGTAGTGAGAGTGACTATGGACCCGATCAGACGGTGGACCCAATAGGATAGATTCGAGACCCGATGCGTATGAGTATGAGTCCAAGTTTTGAACCAAATGGATCGAGTCTAGGTCTAAAATCTGGACCCGAATGGATTCTGGTCCGGGTCCAACCGGACCGACCCATAGCAACCCGTTGCCACCCCGAACCATATTTTTGAGATTTTCACAGGAAGCGTACATATTTGAGAGTACACACTCCACACTCCATTTTTCCGTTATGCTCCACACAAAATAAAATCTTTTCTGAAAGATACTGGTTCTCTATCTAAACTCCTCGACAACTGGCGCGTTTGCCCTAAGAAAGAGAAAACGCTGGACTCTAGTTTCAGTCCTGCTCCCTCCAGGAGAAACCTCTCCGTTATCATTTGCGCACAATTTCAGTTCTTATTTGGATACCTCCTCTCTCTGTCTCTCTCTCTACTATCTTTACCTTCTCATTTACTCTTGTGCTTATCTCTATTCTCCATTTACAGTAAACCCTTCCAAAATAAGATGATTCTATCTCATCCATGGCAAACAAAGCGCGCCTGCTGCGATTTTTCAGGCACCGATGGCGAGTTACGCACACTAGAAAACCCTAGGGCCTCCATGTTTTGTTCACCAGAAACCCCTAGAGCTCCGAGCTTCCCCTTTTCTGAGAGCCCTAGGGCCTCGAACTTCTGCTTGTCTGAAAACTCTAGGGCTTCGAGTTTTTGTGTTGTAGAAGAGTCTAGGGTTTTGAGATCGGGAGTTATGGAGCAGGTGATTGAATCATTGTTAGGATTCTCTGATTCTGAGGCTCTGGACGTGGCTCTTGAGCAAATGATGGATAGAAAAGAATCGGAGTCTTCAAAGGATGAATTTGTTGAGGAGACGCTGCAGCTGAGCTCTCTATTGAGAGAATCTGCTGAGAGATTGGCTCGTAAGCGAGCCTCTTTTCACAATTCAGTAGTCTGGCCTCTTGGTTCCGATCTGACTATCCAAGTAAACATCTCTCTACCCTATCTCTGTTATCATTGGTATACTTATTTTTCTTATTCTTTTAGATGAAAATGATGCTTTGTGTTTTATAGTTCCTTCTTTTTCGGTTAATTACAAGTTAACTCATTTGCTTCGGGAAATACATGTATGTGAATTATCAGTGATTGGATTGATTTTTATGTCATGAGTTAATTGTTGGATTTACTCAGAATTTTGATATTTTCTCTGAGACTAAATTTTCTGTTTGTATTGCCATGTACATGTCTCTTTCTGTTAAACTATTTTTTGTTTCACATTCACTATTACAAGAGATTTCTTAATTTTTTTAAAATTTTTGTTAAAATCAATGTAGCAGTAGATTTTGAAAAGTTGCTTTTCATGTCAAAATATTTGATATGAAAATTTTCTCAATTGGTGAAGAATGCTTTGGACCTTCTTATATCAATTGAGCTATAGAAGGAGTTGAAATTCAAGTAATTTGGATTTGTATATCATTGGAGCTATAGAAGAAGCTGCAATATCTATTATTTGGCTTTCTGGCTCGTTTCTTTATTCTGATCTTCAGTTGTTTGGCTTGGAATCCTGATAAAAATTTTCATCATCAACAAAACAAATGTAGCTTGACTTCAAAATTTTGAAGAGTTCTTGTGCTGAATATTTGTGTTTCTCATGTGCTAAGATTTGAAGTTGTTATTGGATCCCGTTCTACTCATCCAAAATTGTTTGTAATTCCCTTTCATTGCTGATAACTAGTAACTGGGATCCAGTTTTTTCATCACAATTGTTCAATTACATTTCCGTCCGGTAAGTTATACTGATATTCGATCTATAGGAAAAAAATATATATACAAAATGAGGATGTGAGGAACAAGGTTAGCTAGGATCATGTTAAACATGCTCTGGAGCAAGCTCCAAACTTTAGAGTTGTAGCTATTTACTCTTTTTTGTTTTATTTATTTGTTTTGAGTTCCCATCAGATAGAACTAACTACTAAGGAACCTGCTCCTTTTCATATGTTCATTCTCGCAAGGTGTATAGTTAATAGCTTCCTTTCGTTTTCAGATAGAACTAACTACTAAGGAACCAGCTTCTTTTCATATGTTCGTTCTTGCAAGGTGTATAGTTTTTCCTTTCGCTTTAACTATGCCATAGGAATATTTGTGAGTATCTACATCAACTTACTATGGTCTCATCATCATCATCATTATGGCATTTTTTCCCAATTAATTGGGGTCGGCTACACAAATCTTAGTCCATCATTCTACTCTATTAAAGGTCATACCATCAGTGAAGTCATAAGTCTCATATCTTTCCAACCTACTTCCAACCACATCCTTTTGGGCCTACCTCTTGCCCTTTTAAGTCCTTCCACTTGAACTAACGCGCACCTCCTAACGGGTGCTGTACTTGGTCGGCCCCACACATGGCCAGCCCACCTAAGTCTACTCTCTCTCATCTTATCGCCTATTGGTGCCACACCTAATTCTATCGAATGGATACATTTTGAATTTTATCCGTTCTTGTCGTGCCACTCATCCATCTCAACATCCTCATCTCCGTTACACTCATTCTATGGGTATATTGTTTTTTGGCTGCCCAACTTTCAGCTCCATAGAGCAAAGATGGTCTCACAGTTGCCCTTCAGCTTCATTGGTATGTGGGCGATCACATAAAATTCCAATTGTACATCTCCATTTCGCCCACCCAGCTCTAAATCTGTGTACGGCATCTTCCTCAATCTCTCAATTTTCTTGGATTATCGACCTCAGATGTCGGTAGTATGGTCTTTTTTGTACTTCCTGGCTGTCAATATGAATTACTTCCTCGTCTCTACTTCTATTATTACTAATATTGCATTCCATGTACTATGTTTTAGTCCAGCTAATTTTAAAACCTTTGGATTTTAGAGCGTCCCTCCAAAGTTTTAACGTTGTGTTGATGCCGTCTCGGGTCTCATCGATCAAAACTATGTCATCTGTGAACAACATGCACCACGGTACCTCATCCTGTAGGTGCCTAGTTAAGTCATCCATAACTAAGACAAAGAGGTACGGGCTCAATATTGATCCTTGATGTAGACCTATTGTCACTGAAAGTTCATTCGTCTCTCAACTTACTATTGTCTAATAAACTTAGTTAGAGGCTTTTTGCTTATTGACACAAGTTAACAACATATTTCCGGCACAAATCTCTGATATTTAGTCATGAATCTGTCCATATTTCATTGATAGTATTTTGATATAGTTTTGATTTTGTTCCATGTGATCTTGATGAAATGTTATTCAAGTAGTTGCTATATAGGGCATTATAATAATTTATGGTTGTTTTTTATTGAAGGTCTTCTCAAAGCTGGACACAAGGAGCCTTTGCCAGGCTGGGGCAACTTGTTCATTGTTTAACAAGTGCTCTGTTGATCCTTCATGTTATGCTGATCTTGAGTTGACATCAAGATCACCAAAGATCAGCAACGCAACAGTGAATACAATGATCCAGAGGGCAGGAGGAAACCTCCAGTAAGATTTGAAATCCCCTTCATTTAATTTGAATGTTTTATATATCTGTTTGTCTAATACATACGAGTTTTCCTTTATCCTTGGAATTATAAGACTTGTGTTGTGCAAACTTTTTGTGACCTGGTTTTATTTATTCTTTTGTTTCTATTAGGTTTAATATCTATTTCGTGCATGAAGTTTAATGATTTTGAAGCTATGCCTCATTAATTGAGTGGTTTAGAGCTTGTTTGGATTTATTCTTGCAATATATACTATGCAGATCGTACTATTCTGTTGCAGATGTATTGGCACATATTGGACTCAATATAAAGACCAAACTATGAGTGGACATTTGAAAACTGCATTGGAGAGCCTCTATTTTAGTTTTACAATGGTCCAGACTCTAATTTCAGTCGATACTGAGGCATGCCTTTCTAATTAAGATGCATGCTTTCTGTTTTGCAAGAGACTAACTAAGCCTGTCAGGGACAAGACTATAAACCACCTAGATCATATTCTGGGTTATATGCATTATGATTAAATGTTTGATTGGGATATTGCTGGTTGAAGTTTAATTTATCTTTTGGAGTTCCCATGGGAGTTTGGTATGTTGATACTCCCTATTTAAATTGCTATCTCACCTGGAATTATGTTCTTATAGTCCTTATGTTATTGGTAAATTTTTTACCTAAGTTTTCTTTTCCCTTTTGTGCATTGTTGTAACATGGCAATTGTGGTATGTGGACTTTATCGGATCTGCATTCAAGTTAATGTATTACAGTTAGAAGGATAGGGGTGGGATTTGAAGGATAAAAGACACTGCATGATCCACATTATGCATGTTTGCTTTTGTTATTTAATTGATTGACTCTATAGTTTACCTTGTGTATGATTTGAATGTCAAGGATGATCCTTATTTGAATTGCTGTATGGAAGATTTGGAACTCATCTGATGAGTTTAGAAACAATATATTTGGTGTGGATCAGTGTTTTTAAAAATGGATCATGGGGGTGGATTGTCCAACCCACCAATCCCAATTTGGATCAGCCGGATCAGCGATCTGGCTCAATCTGGCAAATCTTTTTTAAATAAAAGAAAACTAAAAAATCTACATATGATAAAATATGTACATTTTAATCAAGTTGGCACAGATGGCCTAGTTGGGAGCACTTTTGACCCGTTTACACAAGGTCCAGGGTTTGAGTCCAAGAGTGCATCTTTTTTAACTTCAAACAAAAGAAAAAAAGAAGAAGAGGGAACTGCACCGTTATAAAGTTGTAATAGGCATGGAGGAGTCTTGAACCCCCAACATGGTGAATGAAGAAAATCCCTCCTAGCCAACTTAACAATATATAATTTTTCACTGATTCAGCCAAGGAACCGGATCAGTGATGGATGATTCCTGATCCAGATTGACGATATCCTATCTGGGTCGGAAAATTTTCAAACTGTGGTATGGATTGCAAGTTTTTCCGTTTATTGAACATTTTGTCGGAAACAAAAATGGACAAGAAGTCGACTGTCGACATGTGGAATAGAAATGGGAGTTGGACATTCAAAGGTTTCTCACTGTATATTTTCTTATCTTATGAACAAAATCTAGTTATCTTATGAACAAAATCACAAAAGGTTGTGATTGTTCAACTGCATAAGTGAACTGGAAGACTAATTTTTGTATAGGAATGGGTATCGTTAATTGCTGTGTTATGCTGTTTGTAGACCGCTGTTCGGGAATTAATTTCCTCTGAGTTTAATTTCTTCTATTTCTTACGTTGGCTTGTGAAATCGCTTTGAGCAAATATGCAAAAGGTTGTAATTGCTCAACTGCATAACTGAACTGGAAGACTAACTGTTGTATAGGATTGGGTATTGTTAATTGCCGCATTATGCTGTTTGTAGACTGTTGTTTGGGAATTAATTTCCTTTGAGTTTAATTTCTTCTGTTCCTTCTGTTGGTTTGTGAAATTGCTTTCATTTTACTCATTCAAATATTTCATTTGGCTAAACCTTATATTATCTAATCAGGTCACTTAGGCTTGGCATAATTTCGGAACCTTCTGAGACAGAGCGATCGTATGGATCTGCTGTTGATTTCACTCAGAGGTCTGTGGATAGTTTAGATTCATGGCATTCTAGAAGATCCATGCAGGGGAGGGAGACCAGTGTCCTGACCAGGACATGCTTATCATCCTTGAGCATGGATAATGGTGCTATTGGGTAGGGTGGATTTTATTTCTTGGCCTCTGATATTTTATGCCTTGTACTGCTAAGTAGACCTGTGCTAATTATTTTTCTTCTCTATGTTTGAAGTGCTCTTTTGAAGAGATTGCACCTTTACAACATCGAAAGGATGGACAATGCTTCATTCTGTGCAGCATTATCTGTTTGTCCGTCCCTCATTGATCTCGAAGTCTTGGGCCTGTAAGTTACTCTTCTACTAAATCTTTTAAGGGCACTAAGATACTAAAATATGACTTGAGTAGAAATATTGCAATTGATTTGTATTTCAAATTATTAGTTTTCTTTATTTTCATCACTACTTTTCTCCTTTTAACAGGAACCATCTCTATTTTTGAAGCATCTATATATGTTGGTGCGAATGCTGATATGTGTGTTTGCATCTGTATGTGTGCATGTGAGATGATGCTTGGGAGTGTGTAGGGGGGTCATAGCATGCAGGTGTATATGTCCATGTGTACAAGTATTGTCCTGTGCAGTCAGATGACTGTTTCTTGTTTGGATTGATATTAACAGGCATATTGAGCTCCGACAAGCTCTGAAGACTCTCAGTTCATCCTGCCGTGGCCTGGAACGTTTAGTCATTGAATCAGCTAAATCAGGTATACTTGCTGTCTTCTTCAAGGGCATCTTTTCCTTGTGGTCGCATTTTTTAACTTTTTCTTTTGGCTAGATACAAATTTTTACCCTTTTATATTTGATATCCCATCTCTCAATATCAGGAAGGGATGAAAGTTTGAAATCCGCAACATGTGCTGAACTGGTGAATGGGTGTCCTCTAATATCATCATTGGCTATCAGGGCTTTCAAACTCAGTGATCAGAAAGTCCGTATACTTTGTAAGGTACACACTGAGTAATTATTTGTTGCATTAAAATTTATGTAACAAGGATCAACTTGTTGAAGTTCCTGTTGTGGATTGGTTTCCCTATTGATGAAGCTCTTAACCACTGGGTTTTCATGTCCAAAGAGTATTGGTCATAATTACCTTAAGAAATGCAACAACAAATAGCAAATGGTTTTAAGAAATTCGCCTTCTTTGATATCTGTTTCATGTAAACTTACATTTTACTTTTTGTTTTAGTTTAAAGCGTGTGATTTTCATTTCCTCTGCTGAATGAATTCATCTAAAAAATTGGGAGCTCTATGATGAAATCTTCGAGTTTTGCATCAAGCATGAATGCTTAATATGGGGTTTTAAATTACTTTATAGATCAATTGGTCTTTCTCTGCAGGGCTTCCGTAACCTTAGGTTTCTGGACCTGTCAAGCGCCTATTCAATTTGTGGCTTATTTCTAAGGTGTGCTTAATTTCCACCAACTGCAAAAAGAAACATTAAGAGTTATTTTGATCTATTTTTTATTTCTTTTTACTGTATCTATTAAACCTATTCTGTTCCATGGTGTTGCTTTCAGGAGCCTAACTGAAACGGAGTCTTTATTGGAGACTCTGATTTTACGTGACTGCATGCATCTGAAAGAAGTACTCTCTCTCTCTCTTGCCCTCACTACCCCCTCCCCCGCCCCAAAAAAAGGGGAAAAAAAACAATTGTTTTGCGCTCTCTCTCCCTCTCTCTCTCTCCACCTCAAAAAATCCCAACTAATTGTTTTGTTGTTCCATTTTCAGGTGGAAGTTAACCGTTTCTTATCAGCAATTCATACTGGAGATTTACAGTTTCTTAGATTCTTTGTGAGTTGATTTTTTTGCTTTGTTTAAGTTGTTGCTCTCATATGGTTTAATTGTTTAACGTTGTAGAATGTTGACATTTATCACTCTAGTTTTCTTCTAAACATTGTGACTTTGACAGGATATTTCAAATAAAGATGGTTTGGCTTCTGATGATGATTGGTACAACCGATGCTATACACCAAGGTAATAAATTTTGTTTACCTAAATCACGTTTGGGCCTATCAAATCACTTTGTAAATAAGCTAACTCTTACCTTCTCTTTCAGCCAGGAGCATATATCACGAGTTCAGTCAGAGAGACCTGAGATTCGAATAGTAGCCGACTTTCCTTTGGACAGGAGGTATTCTTGACCTCACCCATGCTATAACAATATTAGATGTCCTTGATTTGAGTTAGTGGAGAACCATACGTGCACTATAAATCACATTGAGTAGGTGGCCTTTTGCAGCTTTACCGAACTGGAGCATATGATAGATAGCGATATCAATAGTGATGATAGTGCGGCTCTGCATATGAGCGATAGGGTATCATCATACAGTATCCCCTTTCCGAGTTCTTCTGATAGCAGCTACAGCAACGATCCGGGCAGTGGCAATGAAGACAGTCAGAATGCCCACAATGACCTCTACGATGAGTTCTCTGATGGAAACGATTCTCCTTATAGATATTAGCAAGGTCTTTGGTTCATTATTGATGGGTTAGTTCTCTCTCTCTTCTCGCTCTGTGTGTGTCCACATGCGTGCATATGAAAGATTGACCTTTTTTCCTTGCTCATGGCAATCAGATCTGGGTGAACCAGTGGAAAGATGGAATGGTTATGAAGCCGACGTATGACAGTAGTTGGTTTTTGAATGGAAAGGAGTAGCTGCAAATTTGATGTTTGCATGACTATGGAAACAGCTTTTTTTTGGTATGCCGTGGGCATGCACATCCATCCATTATTGTTAGGGACGGTGGATATTGTTGGTGATTGAGTCATGAAATAAGCAAATGTAAATAAGTCTCCTCCCATGATATGTTGGGGCCTTCTTAGATTCTTCATTTGCAAACATGGCGGGCTGTATGTGGCTATTTTCCAGATCAACATTCCTCGTCTTGGGATGATATCAGAAATCTTATCATTTATTTCATAATATCACGAGATCTACTTTGCTCTCTCTCTTCGGCCCAGGCGAAATACTTCTCGTGCTCTTCTCCCCGCTCTTTTTTTGTCCCCTCTTTCTCTCCTCGATTTTTTTCACATCTTTTTGAAGAACTTTAAAAAATATATATACCATTCGTACTCATAACCCAAGTTCGGTGGGAATGAGGATTAATCTTTAATAGAAAAAAGAAGTATCTATTTCTTTATGGAAAAAGTTTTTATAAAGCCGAGGCTTTAAGTTGGGTGGGAATGAGGATGAATGTTTAATAGAAAAAGAAGTATCTATTTCTTTATGGCAAAAGTTTTTATACAGCCGAGGCTCTAAACAATAAATTAGAGCTCACTTTAAAAATTTCATTAAAAGTTGTTTTGATGCTCGAATATCATCAAATTGATAATCTCGATATCAAGATGTATGGACATGAGAAAAAAATAGATTTCAAGTAAATGGATTTTAAGTTTTCAAAATATTGCATCTTGTAATACATTTTTGAAGTTTTTATAGGTGTGTTCGATCTACACTATTTTTGAAGCTTTAAATTTTATAATTAAAAATAAAAATATATTTTAAGGCTATCACAAAGATTTTCAGTATTGAAACTATATTATTCGACACTATTTAAAGATGCGTTTTACTTTGAATATTTAGAGCCTCGACATTATACAAACTTCACTTTTTTTTCTATTGCGTTCCCTTCATTTCCTATTCTCTTTCTCATAGGAAACTCTTGGTACCTTTTCATTTGATATTATGGATGGCTGGCTATGAAGCAATTGTTTCGCTTTTGTAAGTTGATCCGGTCTATTGCCACTTCTCAGAGATGTTTGAATTTTTCAAATCTCTATGGACATACAGAAAAGAAATGCTATCCTCACTCGGACCGATATAACTTTTACCAAAAGCAAAGTTGATTGTAATATTTGTTCAAATAGCAATTAAGGTGAAGTTGGGTAAGGAACAACGAATCTCTTTATAATAAACATATCTATTATATATAGGAAAAGTATAGAATGAGAACATTTACCTTTAGTACAAGATAATCACAATTAATCTTGACCATTGGATGTGAAATTGGGTGGTTGCATTTATTCCATTGACCAAGCTTAAAGTTCAAATTTTTTTTATCAAACTTTGTGATATGCTCAACTTTGTGAAATTGGATGGTGATGAAGTGTAGGTGAAGTACTGTAAAACTTCACCTATAGGCCTTTCGTAGATGCTTATATATATATATATATATATAT